TTCGTCTTAAGTGTGAATAAACAAAGACCTCAATGAAGAGTTTGGCTTATTTCGAGGCATTTGTATTGCTTTTGGGCATCGTAGAATTGGCACACACACAATCGTACCAATAAGTGGTTAGATCAATTATATAATAAAAATTTAATGTTTAATGTTCGTTCGTCTTTGATTGTGAAATCAGGGTCACCATCTTTTGGGTTTTTCATTTACACTTCCATTCAACGGGCTGGAAGGATATTTTCTCCGTAAATCCAGTCTTGGTTTCAGTCGCTAGTCCACCGTTCTGGGTCCTACAATACCACATACAAAAACAATGCAGTTAAATGCTTCATTAAGGTTAGTCTAAGACAAAGTTAAGAGACGGCTTGACTTTTTTCAACAAAATAATTCTACATATGCACATAGCATACATAGCGAGATCAGTCAGGATCTAACTGTTAAATATAGTAAAAATAACGCAATTTTGAAAAATAGATCTTCCAAGCGCAAATAGTTTCTAAATGAGGCAGAATGGTCGTCTAATTGTTAAAATCTTATAAAATAAAGCTTGAAAACCAAAAATAAAGAATGACAGAATACGGGAAGATTATTAATAATTTTTCAACGAAATTTTTTTTTATAATAAATATTTTTTTTTTTTTGCAAATAAGTTATTCAAAATTGAAGTTAAAAATGTTTTTTAAGTTATTCGTAATTTATTGCTTCCTCAAAATATGACCAAATATTAGTTACATATATATATCACTTGAAAAAGATTAATGGATGTAATTTACTTTACGATTTCCATGTAACAATTTAAGAGTGATTTACATTTTAGAACTGTTATAAATCAAATTATGTTAAAACAATAAATTCTACTTATTAGCAGCAGCAGCAAAAACCTGACTAAACTAAATATTAATATTTTCCAAACCTTTTTGCTTATAAAATATTTTTAATTTATTTATTTATTAGGTGTACAACTTTGCCTCCGCCGTTTTCCGATAGGTGGCTGTACCGGCTGAGGCTGGTTGAAATACATATAGATGATAATGCCTTTAAAGTGAGTGTGGACAGTGCCTACCGAATTGTCATCGCCGTTTCAGTGACAGTTGTTCTTGTTTTCGTATTATTCACGCTCGAAAATGTCCATTTTTGTGCCTAATTCTAGCCATTTGCGGAAAGTTTTACTTTTCTGTTACAATTCGAAAAAAAAAATGCAGCTGAAGCGCAACGAATGCTTTCAGAAACTTACGGTGATGCTGCTCTGTGTGAAAGAACGTGTCGGAAGAGGTTTCAACGTTTTAGAAATGGTGATTTCGATGTCAAAGGCAAGCATAGTGGTGGAAGAGAAAAAACCTTCAAAGATGAACAACTAGAAGCATTGCTTGATGATGAAGATTCGTGCCAAACTCAAGAACAGCTTGCCGAATCGTTGGAAATGAGTCAGCAAGCCATTTCAAAACGTCTCATGGTCCTGGGCATGATTCAAAGTCATCCTCCAACACGACAATGCTCGGCTTCACGTCGCAAAAGTGCTCAAAAAGTACCAGGAAACGCTGAAATGGGAAGTTTTACCCCACTCGCTGTATTCCTCAGATGTCGCCCCTTCTGACTTCAACCTATTCCCTTCGATGGCACAAGGCCTGGCAGATCAACAGTTTCAATCCTTCGAAGAATTGGAAAAATGGATTGCTTCATGGATAGCGTCAAAAGAGGACTCCCTTTTTTCGAGCCGGGATCCGAAAATTGCCGGAAAGATGGGAGAAAGTTGTCGCTAGCGAAGGACAATACTTTGATTAAAATATCTGTAAGCACATTTTCGCAATAAAGCTTTTAATTTTGGAAAAAAAAAACGCCGGAAGCAAAGTTGTACACCTGATATAGAGCAATAGCTTTCATTTCAAATACAGTTTGACGGTCTTAAAGAGTCTTTCAATGCCATATATGCAGTCACAGGTGTACATATATAAATTACATGAAAACCAAAAAAAAAAAAAAAAACCTTTACAAGTTAAAACTCAGACAGAGATATTCTACATCGTTGAAGAGACGAAATTTTTTTGGTTTTTGCGGTGTAAATACCATGTAACCGCACACACACACACACACAAGCCGGAATTACCTAAACATAATCACTTTTGGGCGGTTAATTGTTAATTAAACACAGAGATGTTTCGTACTTGCCTCAAGGATACTTAGATGTTTCCACAGTGTTAATTATAATTACTTTGGTCATAATGCGAGAATTTTCGGTTGTCACTCAATCAGCCATACGGTCATGCCACTCAGTCAGACACCGCACAAGGGAAATATGTAAGCAAAATAGCCAAAACAAATATTTATGTATGTCATTTTGATTATTTTATAGCCGACAAACAGCTGGATGCCACCGCATGTACTCGTATATACGTATATACATATAGACAGAGGCAAGTACTTATGAGCACAACTAAGCGCGCGTTTCTTTGTAAGTGTATATGTTAGAAAAAAAAATAAAAATAAAAAAAAAATTATTAACAACTAAAAAATAAGAAAAATAAAAAATCAAAAATAAGAAGAATAAAAAATATCTCAAATGAATTTGTATTTAAAAGAGGTGAGAAAAGTCAGTCACGCTTACATGTAATGGCGCATAAAATGGCGGGGTAGTGCAGAATTGTGGCTAAAAGCTGACGCGCGTTGGCATTCAGCATGTGATTTAATGGCACACATATTTACATATATACATACATACTAGTACAATTTTAATATATAAATATGTAGTTGCATATACATACATATATATTTAAAATTGTATGAGTATACAACTGCACAATCTGGTCACCGGTACAACTACGGTGGTTTCGCTTAAGCACTTGAGCTCGCCTTCAAACGCATGTTTCTCGGCTACCCGAAGAATATTTGGTCTAAAACTGAAAGTTGCGTGCTGCTAAAGCCATATGTAAAAGTGCAGAGTTGTAAGATTTGGGCCTCACCTCATAAAAAATAAATAATCCATAGATAAAAATAAAGGCCTGGAACAAGAGACCTTTATTTTGATGATAACCCCTCCTGCTGGCGTTTAAAGAAACACGATTTGTCTGCATGCACCCAGAATTTTAAATGCTTTGATTTGTAATATGCCGCTGCCCAGCTTGCTGATGTTCTCATAAAAAATTAGGTTAACATCACGGCGTGTAGTCAAGCTGCTGGGTATGCATTTCCAGTTGCAGAGCTATACTCAATTCTTACTTTTTGCCTTCCCGTGACGTAACCTGGAAGTGAGAGCAACCATTGTGCAAGATGCGGTAACCCATATGTGTGGAACCTTGGGCTTAAAGAGAGTAAGCTTAAACTTATTCGGTAAAAAAAGGTTGCCTATTTCACAACTTTATACAATCGAAAGGCGAATATCGGGAGCTGAGAAGAGAAGCGAGGTTTATCCCAATATGGGAAATACTGCAAAGTTCTATGAAAAGGTGCGTCAACTTCCAAAGTGTTTCACACACTTAGGATGCAATGAAGTTGATCTGATGAGTGACGTTCAGAGCATATTGAATTTATGAAAGAAACACTTCTAGAACCGATAGAATAACAGCAATTATGGCGCAGAGGTAAAGAATACGAAAGCTCAATATCTGACTCGGACGTTCCGTCACTTGACTCTGACGAGGTTCGAATAGCGATAACTTACCAGTAGAGCAATTCAGTCATGGCTGCGAAGAACAAACGGGTCTTTCTCAGATCAACTTTTTTGTGCTCTTGCTTTTAAGTTCTTTTTAGCGAAAGATTAGAGTCTAGCGCCAACGTGCTGATCGGACCTCTTCATTGTGGCTTTAGCCGGTATAAGATATTTTCGAGAGAAGGATTTCGCGGAGATTTATGGTTGCATATTGCGCAGACAATGAAACAATATGCGATTTATACGACAAAATTGACACAGATCAACGAATTGGAAGGAATCTGCTGTTCAATGGATGAAGACTGTGATCCGGCTGCTTGAAAACACACCAGCGATACCCTTGCCGTTGGAGCAAGCGGAGAAAAGCAAAGCCATGTCATGTGTTGGTAAGATCAGAGAACTTCCCTTGGTATTTTGAAATCTCAAACTCCAAGTCGATTTGAGAGAGGAAAAATTATCTTCGCCTAATTTAATTCACGATTTCTCCAATTTCATGTCACTGTAATGCAGTTGGCCATAACCGATGGGATACGAGGCAGACAACAAAGAAAGTGATATCGGCACTGTTCTCCATGGCGGCGAGTTTTGATTAAATATATAGAAAAGGAAACTGCAAAAAAACAACAACAAAGACAAAATTGAGAGACGAAAAGTCACAAGCAATTACATAAAACAAAAACAACAACAATGAAGATGCCGTTAAAAGTGTCATGGAATATAAAACGAAACTTATTATGCACAAGAGTTTGCAAAAATCGTAGTAAAAGTAATGTGAACAATAACAACAACAAAGCCAACAACTAATAATAATTTAACATTAACAGATAGCAACTACAGCTAAGAAACAGTAAGCAACAAGAAAAGAAAAGGTTAAAAAGCTGTCGAGCAGGCAACAACAACTATGTAAGGGTACCAGCTGGTACGCTAACACCGCTACCACCAGCCGTACGTGCGCAAGCTAAATGCCTCTACTCAGCTGTTAACAACAGTCAAACAACAACAATAGCATGACCAACTTAAGTGAGCAACAACATGAATAGCAAAATACACAAGTCCATACATATTATATATGCGAGCACTCGTACAAGCAAACGATGGAGCGAGTTAACTCAACATTCAAGTTGGCGACGTTAATGACGAAGACCATAACTTCGCGGCAGCTCACCCTCGCCTTTATGTAGCCGTTGATTTTGGAGCTTTGCGTCTCGATGTTGTTTTCGTGGCCGCTGCTTACTTGACACTTGCTTGTTGGCTTGCTTACTTACTTGTTCATCGTCGTAGTCGCCGACGTCGTCATACGTCGTGTTTGTGGCTCAAAACATAACCGTGGCTCAAATCGATCTTCAGTGCTCGACGGACTCTTAGCGGATGCGGACGGTTTTGGAAATTCGGTTAGATACGAGTGTTAAGTGTTGAAGTGTAGTGAAAATAGCAATAAAAGAAAGAGTATAATTTGCTTACTTATGTTATTGCTTTGGCTGCTATGAATAGAGTGTGAGTGTGCGCGTTGAGCAAGCAAAAAAATGTATGCATTTACAACACAAAAATATTTTATACCTTTGTTGTTGTGATATGATTGGCATATTGAAATGTGTAGCATAATCAACGCAACGAAAGAATACATTTAATACATTTTAAAGATTAAAATAAGTGAAAAAAATGTAAACGCAAAAAAGCTATTCAGACAGACTTAAGTTATTGCTGCATACCTAAATGCTTTGAATTTGAAGAGCACGACCTGTCCGCCAACTCAATCCAGTTAGTCGTACTCTTCCACCATACTTTCGAATTTTGGCAAATATTTTGTGAAAAAATGAGCGTCGATTTTATTGTGTTGGTGTTTATCAGTTTCGTACCATCTTCCAATAAACTGAATAACATAAAAAATGAATTCAAATGAGACGGAACTAACTCAAACAACACAGAGCGAGATACATGTATCTAAATAAATTTAAATTAAATAAAAAAGTAGTTCAAACTAAGAAAATAAAGTTAAATAGAATAAATTTTATTCAATAAATCAAATATGAAATTAGATTTATATTAAAATAAAATTAAGTAAATAAACGACAATTTAAATAAAATAAAATCAAACTAAACAAAGTAAAAAAAAATATATTATATATTAAAGCAAAATATCCCAAAAATAAAATAATTTAAACAAAATAACATAACATAAAAAAAATTAAATACAATAAAACAAAATAAAATAAATCAAAAGACAAAATATAATCAAGTAACACATAAAGAAATAATATTAAACAAAAATAAAATATAATATCATAATATAAATTAAAATAAATAAAATAAGTTAAAATAAATTTTAATTAAATTAACAAAAAAACAGAATGACAAAAATGAAATAAACTTAATTAAATAAAATCAAATAAGATAAAATTAAAAAACCAATCTAATGTGAAATAAAATAAAGGAAACAACAAAATTAAAGCGATGCAAAATTAATTTATAAAATAACATAAAATAATAGGAAGCGGTAATTTAGAAAATATGAAATAAAATAATATAAAAAGTAATATAAATAAAATAAGAAAGTAAAATAAAATAAACCAAAACAAAATTAAATAAATTAAAATAACATAAAATAAGTTAAAATGAAATAAATTAAAATATACAATACTATATAAAATATAGATAAATTATATAAAATAAAAAAGGAAATAAAATCAAATAAAACAAAATTAATTTAAACTAAATTTAACAAAATAAAAAAGTGCTATATGATAAAAAATATAATAAAAAAAAACTTAAATAATGAAATAAATTATTATACAACTATGTAATGTAAAATAAAATAGACTTATAAGAAATAAAATTATAATAAAGCATTACATAATAAAGTAAAAAAAAAATAATTAAAAAATATAATAACATAAAATAAACAAAATAAAATAAGCTAAATAACTATTAAAATACAAATTAAATTAAAATAAAATAAAATAATCCAAATAACAAATAAAGTGAAATAAAAGAAATTTAAATTAAATAAAAAAAATAATGAAAAAAAAAATTTGATTGAATTAAAGCTTGAAGAAAATAGGGCAAATTAAAATTATGTAATATTAGTTAAATTTAAAATAATTTAAAGTAAAGGCATAAACTAAATTAAATTCAAAGAAAATTTATTAAATAAAAATATAATGAAATAAATAAATTATAGAAAAAGCAAAAACAAGAAAAACAAAGTAAATTAAAATCGATTTTAAGAAAATATTTTCCCTTCATCAATTTCTTATTTACTGCTTTACATTTTCTTCGTTCACACAATGTTTGAGTTAAAAGCAAAACTGAGTGAGACCCGGTTTTGGCATTGCACATTTGCCAACAACACCGTCACAGAAAATATAACACAAAGCACGTACACTCCCGCTACTATGGCAAGCCGAAAATCGAAAGGAGAGCATCTACGCTCAAAACTTGTAAAGCATTTGCGACTTCGCCGCGTCTTTTTTTTAACTTTTCTTTTCACCAAAGAAAACAATTATTTTTTTCTTTTTCACGCGTTTCTCACTTTACATACGCCGTGAGTGCGATTTTCTACACATTTGCCTACTGGTGCGTGTGTGTATAAGTAGTATTTTATGTGTACTTTGCGGGTCGTTGGTCCCTCGCGCTGCGCTTGCCCGGCTGGCAACACAATTTATGTAGTAGTACATACGAGTACATATGTACACATGTTATGTAGCTCAAAGCTGCGCTTGCGTGTTGCGACTTCTTTATTTTTAATCGTCTTCATTATGCTTGCATAACTTTTTTACTATGTCCGTGTGGTTTTTTGCCTTGAGTAGTTTTTGAGCTGCCGAAGACTTGCCATACCACTTCAAATCCACTCACACACCACCAAACATCAGCAAGTGCTTAAAAAATATAATAAAAATTTTTTGAAATATTTTTAGTTTTGTTTATTTTTGTGCATTTTATGTAATAACAACTCGGAAAACGCGAACAAACAATAAGCGTAAATTGCGTAAAAGATTGTGTCGGAAGTGGCAGTGAGACAAGAAATGAGAAGTAATGATAAATGCATATGAGTGGTAAAACCGATAAAATAAAACGAAAGCGAACGCAATCAAAATAGCTTGGTATAAGAAAATTTGTGGAAAATAGAAGAAATATACGTTTGTTTGCGTGTTTTTTATGCCAATTATATATTAACTAATCAAATAAAAGCTAAATAATTAAAAAAAACAAATAAATGAATGTTTTTAAATGAAAACTAGATGAAACAGAATTACAGATTACCCTAAAATAAGATTTTTATTTATAAATTTGTGATTTTGTGAAGAAATCTTACTTTAAAATAAAGTCTATATCACATCAGAGCCTTCGGCTATTACAAAATTATTATAGTTTTTTCTTACTTTTCGTTCAAAAATTTTACATTTGAAAAATTGAATCAATAAAAAAAAGTACGAAACGGCACCACTGTGCGTTAAAATTTCTCACATTAGCTTTTGGACCTTTAACACTGAGTTTTACATGTTTATGATTTCACTTTTTTATTAATTTTCTACGCCTAAACCACAATAAAGTAATTTGGTTTTAACTTCGATGCTGGGTTATGAACAATAATGGACATTTTTGCAAGATTCCTTTGTCTAGCTGGCTTACATGCGCTTTTTATTTATATTGAAATGCTTTATTTTTTGGGTTTTGTATTATTTTTTTAGTATTTTTCCATTCTTCAGTAATGAACGAACTCATTTATAATCTTCTTTTGCATTTATTTAACCATTAACGTTGAGTGGTTTTACAGATTCGCAAAAAGGTTGTCCAATTGGCCTTTCAATACCATACTTTTTTTTATTTTTATAGCAATTAAATTGCTTTAAATTGTAGTTTGTGTATATTTAAAGGAAGAAAGATACAAGTTTTTTTCAGTTTTAAACCGAAAAGTTGTCTGCGTTATTTAAAAAATTATTGTAAATTTAATTTTTTTATTTAAATATTTAATAAATATTTTGAATAAAATTAATTTTTTTTAGTTAATATAAGTTTGTAATATTTCAATATAATTTTTTTTTTTTAATTTAAATTTGAAATATGTATTTGTTTTTAAAATAATTTATTTTTTTAATGGTCATTATTTTATTGGTTTAGTTCTTTTTTAATTTAAATATCGGTTTCTTGTATTTTATGCAATTAATATTTTTTATTATAAAAATTCAATGTTTCTTTCTTTGTTTTCAGTATATTTTTTTTAAACTAAATATTTTTTACATAGTATTATTCTAATCAAGTTCTTTAACTTAAATATTCAATATTTTTTTTTTCAGTGTAATTATTTTTTAATTTAATTAATTAATTAATTTTTATTATTAATTCAATATTTGTTTCCAATTCGATTGGATTTTTATTTAAATTATTAATTTTTATTTCGAATTTTATTTTTTTTTTAGCTATATATTCGGTGTAAATTTTTTTATATTTTTAATTCTATTAGATAAATACTTTAATTTAATAATTGTTGTATTCAATTATTAAATATTTGTTGTATATTCAGTAATTTCTTAAAGCAATACAATTTTTATTTACTTAAATACTTGGATTAAATAATTTTTGTATTTTTATGTACAATACTTGTTTCCAAAATAAATAATTAATTAATTTAAATTTTCAATAAATATTTTATTAAATTTAATAAATTTTTTTAAATAAAATTGTCAATAATTACTTGCAAAATAATTATTATCTATATACTCTGTTTTTGTTTATTTATTTCTTCTAACTAAATACTTGAATTCAGGTAACTTTTATTTAGCTTAGTTATTGGTTTAAATTTAAATATTTTTTTATCCAAACTTTGTCTTTAATATAATAATTATTCTTTGAATTAATATACTGAATTCTTTTTCAAAAATATGAAAAAAAAATATTGGAGTTTAATAATTTTTTTACTTATATACCCAATTTTATATGATAATAGTTTTTGTTTTGGTTATATAAGAAATATGTTTAAAACATAAATAATTATTTTTATTTAAATTTTCCGCATTAGTTTCCAATTAAATTATTATTTTTTATTTAAATATTCCACATTTATTTTCAATTTATTTATTTAAAAATTTCCTTACCTAAATGACTTTAACAAATGTTTATACTTTGACTGTCATTTAGTGTATTGCATTTGAGTGTGCTCGAATAATCATAACATCAATTAAACGCATTTTTTTCATTTTCATTTAAACACTTCATAGAAGGCCTCTAAGTATTTATAATAGTTTTTGTTAGTATTTTTTAATTTTTTTTTCATTTTCACTCAAATATTATATTAGTCATTTGCGCATGCGTAAAACACTTGTTGACGCATACGAAATTCAAGACACGTTTGAGACACAAAAAATCAGAAATTATGCACATTTTTAATGTTGGAATGCAGTGGTGGAACATTTATTTATACTATATACATACATATGTAGGTTTGTTTGCTTTCATATTAAATTAATCATGAAAAACCTGACGAATACTAACAAAAATTTATGTGTATTTAAATAAAAATTATAACCACTAAATGAATGTAAAAATAAAATTTCTTAAGGCTCATACGAAAAGGTGTACATATGTATGCATGCATGTACTTACAATGTCATAAAAATAACTACATTTTTACGGCATTCCACTGACTATGACAATTTGGTGAAATATGATTCTCAGTAATTGAGGTCACCAAGAATACATATATATTACGAAATTATTTCGGAAAATTTATGAAATTGTTATGAATATAAATTAAGCTTATTTGTAACTGAAACCAAAAATAGTTTTTTTTCTTAGTACTGCACAATATACCGTTAAAGAGTTTATTGTTGCATTTTGAAAAAAAAAAATATTATATGTTGAATTGAAAAAAATAATAATATTTATGAGGGAATATTTCATGCAAATAAAAAAATTAATACATTAAATATTTGAATGAATGAAGTAATAATTAAATTTAAAATTAAAATTTTACAGATGTTTTTTATTTAAAAGAAAATGTGTTGTATTGAAAGTAAAAAAAAAAAATAAAAATTTGAAATATTGAAAATTTGAAATAATTGATATTTAAATAAATATTTTAAAAACAAATACTAAATATGCGAATTAAAAATAATTATATTGAGTACAAATATGGAAAATTTCAATCTTAAATAAACCTTTAACTACAGGCATAATGATTTGCAAAATTATTATATAATAAGAAAAAAATTAAATAAAATGAATAAATTAATTAAAAATAAATAGTACATAATAAAAGTTATGTCAAACATAAAATATAAAAAATATGATAATTTTATTGATATTTATTCTTTATAACCGAATCCAAAATACTAAACGCTGGTGAGAAATCGAAGACATCGACTCCGACTGAGTAAATATCACATTTGTTGGCAAAAATTCAAAGTAAATTTAAGCTTGGCAAGCCAAGACTCAAAAATATAGCAAATGTATTGTTTTAATTGCGGGAATGTAAAGTCCTTTGAGTATATTTCTGACAGTGAAATAAGAAGCTACCCATAAATGAGGAATTATAAAACGGTCTACAAAAATCTGAAATAGAAGCTCAAATTGTACCAAATTTATTACAAAGAACATTAATCATGTGAGGATAAAATAATTATTTAGTAATGTTAAACAAATTCTTTTCCACAAAAACAATAACAAAATAAGTGCGAAAGTGGGCTGCAACAAGTTAAATAAACTTCTGTGCGTTTTTAGAAGAAAACTAAATTCTACTCAGCAAACTTAAAAAAAATTGAAATAAAATTTTAAGACATAGAGCTGATTAAGATGAAATTAAATCAAATTTACCATTTATATTATAAACACACACACACACATATAATATATATATATATATATATATAAACGAGTATATATTCACCTCAATCAGTTCTGTGTAACTACTGAACCGATTTTTGGTCGAGCTCCTCTTCCAGCGGTATTGAATCCCGGTATTATACATAATTTTCTTACGGCGCTCAAAAATTTAAATAGTTCAACGTCTTCGAAGTGCAATAAATCAAAACTATTTCATCGTTAAACAAAAACAAAAAATTGGGTATATTTAAAAAAATATTTTTCATTATTATAAATTATGCAATTCCTCATTTAAATATTTCGCACAATTAATTTATAAGAAAACAATAATGAACAGAAAAAATAATAAAATAAAAATAAAATCAGCTTACATAACATAACAAACTAGCAAATTATTATCTCTCTAACTGAATAAACTAAACACGTTTTAGGAATAACAGCAAAAGGAATCTGAAAAAAAGAAATGAATGGAATAAATGTGTTAAGTTAGAATTCAATTTAAATAAAAATAAAAATTCTACCAAAAATAAGACTATAACAAAATAAAAACTATATATCAAATGGAAGATAAAAATCAAAATAAGAGAAGGAAAATATTAATTGTAAATGGTAAAAATAAAAATATCAACAACAATAACAATAAAAAAAATAATAATAATACATATGATAATAAACTATTAATAAGTAAGTAATAAAGCAATAAAAATTAAAACTGAAATAAAAATAAATCTAAGAATGAGTATGAACAATAAATAATAAAAGAGACTAAAAATAGTTTTAAAAATTAAAAATTAAAAATATATATAAAAATTAAATTACAATAAATATAAAACTTCTATTTTAAATAAAAATAAACCAATAATAAAAGTCATTAATGGAGGCAGAAAAAATTAAAATAAATTAAAAATTGATATTTAAATATTAAATTAAATTTAAAAAATATAATAATAAAAAAATAAAAATATCAGTAAAAATTTTAAAGTGGGAGGTAAAAATAAAAATAAGAAAAAGAAAGCTTAAAATAAAAATGTGAAAAATAAAAATAGCAACAGTAATGAGAATAAAAATAAAAATAATAAGGAAAAAATAATATAAAAAGCATAAAAATGAGAGTTTAATAGTGAAATTAAGAAAAAAAAGAAAATATGTGGATTATTATTATTATAATATATATAATAAAAATATACAAAAAAAATATATAAATAGAATATTCTTAAAATAGATATAAAAATAAATAAAACAATAAAATAAATATACAAATATAAATAAAGGTAGCGAGTGGTTAGCTTTGCGCACCGCCATTCGGAAGTCGCGGGTTCAAATCCTGGTGTCGTACTAACATCCAAAAACTTGTAAAAAATTTATTTAAATAAAAAATTAAGTAAAATTTCTTTAATTGCGGTTTAATTAGAATAAATGTGTTAAGTTTAATTGCGGAAATGTCAACCGCTTCTGATATGAAATAAAGCTCCGCACAAAAAAAAACATCAGCCGTTCGGATGCGGCTTAGCATAAACTTTAGTTCCCTCCATTTGTTAGAAAAACATCAAGGCGCAAAACCAGAAATCGAAGTAGGAGCTCGGCCGAAAATCGCTTCAAGGGTTACAAAGAGCCAATTATTATATGATAATAAATAAATAATAAAAATGATAAATAGAGAAAGATCAAAACTAAAGTGTATATAAAAATAAAGTTTAAAAAATAATTAAAAAAAAGTATAATCTCAAGTAAACTAATAATAAAGTAATAATAAAAGAAATAAAAATAGAATAACAAAAATTAAAATTATAATCTATTAGAAGTAAAAAAAAAACGAAGAAAAAAATAAAATTAATATAAAAAATATGCATAAAAGTAAATAAAAAGTAAAATTTAAATTATAAAATAATAAAATAAAACACTAATACAAATAAATATTTTATATGTGTAGTACAAATCATTTGTACAATTTGGTGCTTTTATTATTATTTTTAATCATTTCTACTTACAAAAAAGAATCACATTTTTTTGTTTAAAATTAACACAGTATGACTTCAGTACAGACAAATATAGATTACCCCGAGTTGCTTAACTCAAAACTCAAATGAAAAGAAAAACGCGCACGTAGACTCAGTTAAATTGTATGTACGTGTATGTGCATAATTTTGCTGAAGAAAAAAATTACTTAAACCCCAGTTAGGTAACGGAAGTTGGCCTAAATGGCTGTAGTATAACTATATTATTAAGTCAAAGACAATGCGGCCGGAACCAGCTAACCGAAAATATATATGTACATACATATGTATGTATGTGAATGAATGACTAAACATTTTTCTACGCATAAACCTACCATGGACTGGCAATCTGACGCATTAAGAAGGTCTTCGAAGTGACCTTCTTTAGATGTGAATTTTAGTAGAAAAAGTGGATTTTAATTTAACAAAAAATATATAAAAACTATATATTTTTTGGGAATAAAATATGAATTGAGCTTGAAAAGAATAATTGAAAAATTTAATTAATTATAATAAAAAATATATACACGTTTATTTAACAAAATAAACATAAATTAAATTAAAAAGTAAAAATAATTAATATAAAATAAAACCATTAAATTCCGTGAATATTTTTTTCTGTGCTAATTAAATTATAATGTTTTACCTTATTACATATATATGTATTTAATTACATGCATAAAGTGTTAATTATATTTCTTTTGTTTGCTCAATTTCGCAAATCAGCAATCAAGTGACAGTATCATCAACGCATCATACTATTCTGAGAAATTGAATTAATAAATCCAAAAAAAAAAAAAAATCCATTACTCTATGAATGTGCATGATATTCATGATATCGAATAAACTCATTCATTCATTAGTTGATAATTACAAAAATCTCTTGCAGTCGCCACATAATAGCTTTATGCATAAAAGCAATAAGGAAGTATTTGCTAGAGCAAAGCGTCAACACCGTGCCGTCGTGAGCAACAACAAAGTCAGATAACTAAACAATAACCAATATAAATACCAGAAAAAAATTCGAAAAATATATTAAGTAAAATACAACGAATACAATAACTACTTAATAACGACTATCATCATCAATGCAACACCAACAACAACAACAATAACAACTCAAAAATTATAATCAACAACAATTCAGCTTAGTGCCGCGATGTCATACAAGGAAACTTGTTGAATATTTTCTCATTCACTGCATCGTACCTTCCATATTGCCGCCCTGTGCTGTGCTGTACAGCCAACCCGCGCCGCGAGTGTGAATAAAAAAAAAAAAATATTTATGAAATTTTATTTCAAAATAAAAAAAGTGATAGTAATTTTAAGTTATACAAAATCTGTGTAAAATTTAAAAAAAAATATGTATATATATGCATACATATATATTTAAATAAAAACTATATAATAAATAATAATTTATAATTAAAAAATATTTCCATAACATTAGTGCAAATATTTCTACCTGCCGTTTAAAATGAGTGTTAAAAGCTTAACCCCAACATGGGGTCATCAAAGGCAACGGCAACGGCAACGTCAGCAGCAGCAACAGCAGTTGGAACGTTTGCAATTTTTCAATGTTGCCAACAGTATTGTGTTTACCAACAAAATGTGGTTTACAATTGCCATCATATTCATCATATGCTTAGATGTGCATTGTCAAGGTGAGTGGAGTTAAACAAAAAAAAAAATTAAAAAAAAAAATTAAAAAAAAAAATTAAAAAAAAAAATTAAAAAAAAATAGAAATATATAAAAATAGAAATATATAAAAATAGAAAAATATAGTACGTATAAATTAGTTTTATTTTTAAGCCAACATACATATTAATTGTGTGAATTTTCTGTGGTTTGGAAGCGTTTCAAATTATTAATGATCCAGTGGTTGATGAATATTTTTGACTTACGACACTTATTAAATTAGGAATGATATCATGGCAAAATAATGCTTTATCCATATACAAGTCTTCCGTTTATTCATTAGCTTAAATGAACAGTTCTTGTATCTAGAACTTAAAACATTTTTTGAAAATGAACTACTTGAGATAAATCTCTAAACATAAAATCTCGTAGTATAGCAATATAGTGCGCTTGATATTTTTTGAAAATTAACGAAATTAGTTAATAATATATCATTATAAAGATATCAAGTAAATTTGAAATTTCCTTCATTAAGCGGCTAATTCTGAGTAGGGTTGCCACATATAATTTATAAATAAATTGATTGAAATTGTAGCTGAGAGTTCTAATAAACATTTCTAATACATTATGCCTATTTACAACTCTTTCGAAATGATGGCTAGCAAATTTACGTTATGGTTATTAATAATTTTTAAAAGGGTTGCCAAATAAAATGTTATAGTATTTGTAGCTGAAAAGTTTTATACAATTTTTTCATTCTCAATTCTTAATTATGACAATTTTAAAATGATCATTTCCAAATTTTAGTGAGCTTATTCCTATAGTGTTGCCACTTATTCTATTGGAAAATGAAATTTGGATACTGCTCAAGTGTAGTTTTTGATCTATAATTCAGTAATCGTTCCTATGATGTTCGACACTATAAATTTTTACTTTTATTTTACTTTTATATATTTTTTTATTATTAATATTAATATAATATTATTTATTGTTTTATGTATGTTTTCTTTTTTAATTTTAGTGTAATTATTTTCATGTTTTAATCCTTATATCTTAATAATATTAAAATTTTTTTATATTTAATTTTTATTTAACTAGGACTTATTAATTTAATATAAATTCTAATTTTAATTTGGATTTTGATTTTAATTTAAATATTATTTTTAGTTTTTATTACGATTTTAGTTTAAATTTATATTTAGGTTTAATATTTATTTTACTATTATTTTTGATGGTAGTTTCAATTTTAGTTTTTATTTAATAAGTATTTTATTGTATTTATAGCTGAAAATTTTTATACAATTTTTTCATTCATAATTCATAATTATAACAATATTGAATTGAAAAATGAAATGACGTTGGGCACTATAAATTTCTATTTTTATTTCACTTTTATTATTTATTTTATTATTATTATTTTTTATTATTAGTATCAATTTTTATTTCATTATTACTTTTTAGTTTAATCTCAATGTTAATATTAATTCTAATTGTTTTAACTCGACGTTCGACAGTTCAAATTTTTTTTTTTTTTAATTTTTATTATTATTTATTATTTATTATATTTTATTATAACAAGTTTACTATTTTTTCTTTTTTTTTACTTATTGGTGCTTTTTTATTTTTAGTTTAATTATTTTCCTGTATATTTCCCCATATATTATTATTATAACTTTTTCAAATTCAATTTTTATTTTATTATTATTTTTCAATTATTTTTAGTTTTAGTTATGATTTAGCTTAGTTTTGCATTTCTTTTTAATATTAATCATAATTTTATTTTTGTTCCCATTTTTATTTTTATTTTAGTTCTAATCTTAATTTTAATTTGACTTTTATTTTTTAATTCATTTTAATTGTTTTTTGTAATTTTATTTATAATTATAAATTTAGCTTTATTTTTATTTTTATTAAAAAATGAATGGAATTAGTTATATAATTTTTTATTTCTTAAAAATTTTTAAAATTTTTAAAAAATTAGTCTTTAATTCGGTGATGGTTTCTATGACATTTAACAACTGAAAATATAGTAAAACCAAAATTAATTCTGTTTGCCATTGGAACCTCATGCATTGATCTCGCAGAACTATTTCGAAGCATCCTCTCCTCTCATTTAGGTAACTAAATTTCTCCTAAACTCAACCGTTTCCATCTCTGCCAAACTTGTCTAGTTTTGCTGTAGATCACAATGTGAGTCATTGTGTGTGCGACCTGCTCGTAACTCATGCTTTAAGTAGCACTTCACATGTAGCTAAAGGCAAGATAATTATCTGTTGGAGGAGTCTACTTGGTCGTACCTTGTCTGGCAAGATCGTCTGCTTTACAGTAACTTAGAATTGTAACATACGGCACTTGGATTTGAAATTATTTGTTGATGCCTATATCGTTTTTCAAATATATTTCTCCATAGTTTCTAATATTCGCCGAACAGTTGATGGATTTTTGTGAGAATTTTTTCTTTTCTTGTGAAAAAATTATTCAGAGTTGTTGATATATCTACCGGACTGACTGACTTTTTTTTAGTTTGGACTTGAAGCCAAATCCTCCGACTCGTGTGTTTCTGGTAATTTTTGAAAACCATCTCTAAAACATGCAATCATTGAGCCATTTTTCGTTCTTTTCAAAATAAACCCTCGGACCGGTGATCTCCAAACCGTTTTGCATACGTTAAAGTCGAAAAAGCCAGTAGTCGGAAGGAGGAAGCTCAGGTAAAAGCGAGAGATGGGGTAAAACTTCGCAAACTTCCAGGTAGTTTTTGACCTTTTCATTCCCGTAGGCTCCAGGATTGTCTTGTTGCAAAATCAACTTGTTATGCCTATCGGTCGTTTCTGGCTATTTTTCACTAAATGCATGATGCTCAAACGCCTTGTACTGAATCATCTGTCTTTGGAAGCCAAAATTACAATTTTTGGAATGTCAGAAACACTGTCCGTATGACTTTTCAGTTAGCACAGATTTACCATGAACTTCCACTAGTAATCAATGGGAAAGTCAAAGCTTCCCGCAAATTTTGTTTATTTAACAAAAATCAAAACTTTTTCGATGAGGCAAAAAATAATATTGATGTCAGACGCTGATGCTCAGTAATTATTGTTTACAAATGTGAATCCTTTGGAAGACAAAAGGTAACTGCATTAAAAATCAGCCTCAACTAGTAAGTGGAGTCGTCCTTTGAGAATGGACCGAATTAATTATGGTAAGACTACAATTATCTTTCTGTCAACTGTAGTAAGGAGCCTTCAAACTGCCACTTTTGCTGCGAGTGTAGTGGATTTCTGCACTGGTTTTCAAAAGGACGACTGCTACCTTTCACAGTCTCTTTTCCTGCACTCGCAGCGGCTTTTACTTTAGGTCGAGCTCCTCCCTAGATTTGTGGTATGTGTTTTGATATATTTTCCAGCAAAAGAAGGGCTTAGGGTCTTACTTCTAAATCGCCTCCGAATGTTTGGATGGGTTAATAGGAGGAGCTTTTTTTAAATGTTAGAAATGCGCTTTGGAGATTGTAATCTATGAAAAGGGCAATAATAATTTGAAAAAATAGTATTATTAGTTTCTAAATAAATTTGGCTGTTACTTTGACAGAGTACGAACTTGCCGCATAGTAGCACGTACTGCTGACCACTCGGCTACTGCGGCCGTTTACATATTTAAGCGAATTTGGAGCTTTTTCACCGTAAATTCACAAAAATGTTCAATTCGTGGAAAACGCAAAGAGAAATTGCAAATTCACACTACTCATTAAAGTAGTAAATAAAAAAGGAATAATAACTATGTAACAATAATTGAACCTAAAATATTTTGTATTACAAATTCATGCCCTGAAATACACATTTTTCGTAGAAATAAAATGAAATTGTTGTTATTACAAAAAATTACTATTAATTACACTCTTCGGTAATGCATTTCAAATAATATTTCTTTTTTCACGTTTTTTGTTTTGTTTTGCATCCGCCTCTTTGGAATTTTGATTTCTCTGCAAAATTCCAAAAATACATCATTTCATGTTTACATCCTATTGCGTATGCATGTACATTCGAGTATGTATATACATACCTACATCGCTTTATATTTATTCATTAAGGGTATGCACAGCGCTATTTATAAATCGTAGTTAAAAAGTACCGACAGAATGGCAAAAGAAAAATGAGAAAAAAAATGTGAGAATCCCAACGTAATTGATGTTTGCACGAACAGCGGGGTTAATGAAAATGCTCATCATAGTCACTGTTCAGCATTGTCTGCCAGCGGTTTTAATGTTATTCCCATTTTTTTTTTTGAAGTTCTGGAAACGTAAATATATATATATATATAAATATAAATACGATTAGTATTGAAATTAAAAAAATTATATTTCTAGGCTCTCAAAGTTTAAATATTTATTTTTGTAGTTTTTTAGAAATATGTATTTTATCAGCGTCCTATGCCTTCAGTCTTATTTACTAAAATTTTTTTAGTTATATTTTTAATTTTATTTTTATTTTATTTTCTAATTTTAATTTTATTTTTTTCTAATTTTATTTAATTTTTCTAATTTTATTTTTATTTTTTTTTATTTTTTATAATAAAATTTTTTGTTAAGAAACTTTATTTCCAATTCACAAATAACCCACTACATATGTATGCACATATCTACTATTATGTATTCACTTTATTTTCAATTTCATTGACCAAGAATAAGAGAATTTATGTACGAGTGTCTACTGTGCGTGACAGACATTTGTCGTCGTCCAGCAAAAATATTCGCACTACATACTCGCATAACCAAATTCGTGACGCTTGTACTTGTATGGTTTCAGTTTTAATTAACAGCGCAGTGCCAAAGTGTAGGTATTTCTTCTACTCAACCAAAAAACTAACGACTCGAATACCAAGTGATTTCAACTCAAATCGAGTTTGATTTTGTGCAATGTTTGGTTAAAATTCTGTTCGTTGCGTAGCAATTTAAAAATACCAATTGTTTGTTATCCGTAGCTGTTAATTGCTCCCATTTAAGTTCGGCGAAATAAAAAATGCACTTCATTAAAG